CACATGGGAAGGACAGATGTCTTCCTCTTAAATTATGCAAGGCGATTCTTCCATGTAAAATGGAAGCATCTATCCACCTCTACTCTTTTTTCATAAGCTATGAAGAGAGCTCTACCTTATTTCAGCTTTCATCATGGTTAGGTATTTCTACAGTGTTCAATTTGGGTTTACTTCTAATAATGCTAATGCAGAAGTTTTCAACTTTTAGGCCTTCAAGTCTTACGAATTCTCACCGGCCCTTATTTTGTTTCTATTTACCCAAAGACAGGCAGATTCATAATACCTTACTACGAGTGATACTTTATATAATCACAATGTAAGCCACCACCACACACACACACAAAAATATATATATGTATATACTGTTAGCTTTAGTATTCACAATATATAGTCTGTTACGTCCTTTCTGTTAGCCTTAAAAATGTATCCATTAGCCTCAAATTTCACAATGTATATCTTGATACATCGGGTTAGCCTCAACATTCACAATATGCATACTGTTGCTACTGCTACGTGAATATCCTGTTCCTAAAGAAAGCCCCAACCTCAAGACAGTTATCGCTCACCCCAAACCCACCCTAACTTAAAACTACTATATAAAACTCTCCTATTTTTAAATTTTGGGGCCTGGGTCTTCACAGAGTACCTAGTTCCACTGGGCCGACTGGTCAAATAAAACTTTGCTCCATCTCTTTTGCATGGGTTTGTTTTTCCCAGTCCACATGTCCTACAACAATGCTACAACGAGAAAAAGTTGTAACTAACATCTATTTTTCCATACTTTTGCAAGCACTGGCTCTCAGAGTTGAAACTGCTGAGTCAAGAGTATGTATATCTTAAATTTTGCTAAGCAGGCCTGCCAATAGCTTTCCCCAATTTCTTCACAAGCTGCTCTGAAAATGAAATAAATCTACCTAGAGCAGTTCACAAGAGTGATACTCTATATCCCCAATTCATAATTAAGGCATTCCCAAAGTAGCTAATGCCCCCCTTCTAAGTCTCCTTGTAATCTTTTTAAACAAAAAGTGACTTTTTATTCCTTTTTATAAAAACCCTCTTTGCAGCAGTCCTAGGAAGGCTATTTTAAGCAACAGCAAGACAAAGCAGTGAATACAACCACTTTGTTAATGTGAGGGGAAATAAATGTACACTGTCTGGCATTTTCAACGTGGCCAGTAAGTATGCCTACCAATCGTTATTTTAGTATCACAGATGAAATGGAGAGGATTTTTTTTTTCACTTCAGGATTTTCATTATATTTTATATTGATTTTTATCACAGAATTACAGGATAAAGTGAGGCTGTAACTGATATGCCTCGGTAAGCTTAATGTAGCATCTTGCCCTTTCAGAACACTTGCAGTGAGAAAAAGACCTTAGGTGGCGTTAAATTCAGGTCTAGTCAATAGTTTTCAAAGACAGAAAAAATGTAAGCATCATCAGGTCAAGTAAATGCAGAGTTCACTACTTTAATTTGGGCCCACAGATTTCTCAACAGGCAATAAATGTGCGTTATGAATGAGCACATCCACAACATATGAAATAAAACACCTCGAAGCAGGTGAAGTTGTGCAGTCTGTATGACTCTGCTAAGGTGCTACATCCTCCTCAGAACCGTCCACCTGTGCACAGTGACCGGAAGGGAAGAGTGAAGACAGCCGCTCGGCAGGAGAGCGACAGAAGGCTTGCTTTCCTCCTGTCAGTCTATATTGTCGGGACTACAACTCGTCATAAAGTTGCTGCTTCCATAATTATTTTCCTTGGATCTGCCTGAGAATCCACGCACTTGCGCCTAACAGGGAGCACTTGAAAGCCCTGCTACGTCAAACATGGAGCTCTGACTAATAACCACCAGGACCTCAGGCTTGTTAGAAACAGGGTCTCTCATGCTCACTTGGGCAGCACATATGCTAAAATTAGAAACAGGAGTCTCTGACACACCATTAACATCCCAGGGATTCCTGTGCACGTTCAAGCTTGAGATCCTTGGTCAAGAAAATCCAAAGCAAGACGCTCAAAGTTGGGGAGGTGGGGGACACTTCTGTCCTCTAGGGCACATCCAACGTATCGGAAGACATGTGCAGTGCGAGCTTAGTGTCATCTCATGCACAGAAGATGGGGCGCCAGATAAGGCTCAGGATGTTCCTCTCCCCCACCACATAACTTCTCTAGCCTTATATTTTCAGAAGCTGAGGAATCCCAACAGAGAGGAAAGAGAGTTTTGCCTAATTCCATGTAGTATGTATAATCTAAAAGCTCAGGCAGGCACAATAGTGGGTACCTCTAACCCCAGCACTGGGGAGGCTTGGTCAGAGTTCAAGGCCGGCCTGGGATCCATAAGTTCAAGGCCAGCCCAAACTACATAATGAGACCCTGTCTCAAAATAACAAAACAAAATCCAAAAGCTTATAGTACTGTCCTTTTAGTCAGAATTCAAATACTTATATTTCATTCTCACTTTGCTGGTATAAGGCTATTTGTAATTGTACTTTCCAAGAAAAGATCTTGAGGTCATTAAATTAGACATAGTAGGAGAAACAAAACCATGTTTCCTAAATTGTGAACAAAATCTATTTAAATTAAAAAATGTAACATAAAACAGAAAAGGATCATTAAATATAATTCTTCTATTGACTTCATAAAACTATACCAATGATGTTCTAAAGGGAAAATTTCTAAAGAAAAATTCTCAACCTCTTTCCAAAACCAGTCTACTATTTAACTTTCATTATTAACATGCCTATATAACATTAAACTAAAAATATCTGAAAGAATTTAGTTCCAATTCTTAAGAAAAAAATACTAATGTAATCAGAAGAAGAATATTCAGAAGCTGGGGCTGTAATTCGGTGGTAGGGTACCTGCCTAGCATCCCGAGGCCCTGGGTTTGATGCCCAGCATCCAGGAGAAAAAAATCCTGTAGGAGAAAAAAAATATTCTGTACGGAAATTACTTTACTAAAGACTCATATCCTAATTATAAAAAAATTACTTGTTGGATCTAATTTGTAATTATACATTGAAAAACAAACTTCATTCTAACTGATTGACAACCTTCTTTTGAGCTCTAGTGACAGCCCCTTCAATAAACCCTGCACACCTGCACCGTCCTGGGAGGCTCACAAATTGGACCCAAGTCCTAGTGCCAAGTGCTCGTGGTCTAGCACATAGAGCTTTATTTGGTATTTGCCAGGTGATCAAAATAATTTCAAATTAAATTGTGTGAATAGTCTGATGTACACAGATAACAAAAGTAGAGCCAACAACCACTAGATGTATATTTGCTAACTTCTGAAAATGTTATTAAAGGTAAGAAAAAAGCTTTCATAGCTCTCATTTTCTTTGACTTTATTCTCTTTCAGATGAAGAACTAAGTTACTACACATGCTAAAAATAGAGTTTCAACCATTTAAAATGTTGCACAGCTAATAGAACTGATGACTCTCTGGTTTCCATAAATCACTGTCCCCGTCACAGTTAGGTCAGTTTAAAAGACTTATATTATCTTAATGTACTAGTAAATTATGATTTAATATGGACAAAATTGCCATCTGGGCCACTTTCCACAGCCCCATGACCTTCTATCAGGCAAAGAGGTACGGCTGCCAGCTACCAGGACCATCTCCATGCCTAGGGACTGACTCAAAGAAAACCATAAAGAAGAATTATTATAGAAATCTGAGATGAATGTGAAAACAGTACAATGCAAACATAAAAGTAATTACAGTGGAAAGGACCTGAAAAGCATCTGCCATTGCCCTTTAATTTTAAAGAAGTAAAAATTAAAAATCAGCAAGGTCAAGGAACATGCCCAAGGAAGCACAGCCAGTTAGGTCTCCGGACTCCACTCTACTTTCAAGGCAGTTGTGTACAAAAACATATTAACAGCCCAAGCAAGTGTGTAATTCGACATCAATACCGACTTATTCGTTACCGTATCACTGACTTCTTCAAGGTGATCACTTACTAAGAACACACAGAACCTTAGGATTTCAGAGCAGGAAGACAGAACCTTTAATGACCTCTGCCTGTCAGGTGAACTATCCAAGGAGTTTACTGCTCCACTGGTTCCTCTCACAAACATTTACTAGGCTCCTATAATGAACTAGTTCTGGACAAAGAAGAGTGGATAAGAATCACTGTTCTTAGACATTCACGTAGGACAAAGAAAAAAGAAAACAAGTGTAATACAAAAAGAGGATTATTATAAAAGTATGAGGGGGGGCAGAAAGAGAAAGTAATCACCACTCATGAACAGAGAGCTATTTACACCGCTGTCACGATGCTTTATTAGAACAGATAATACATCTTTAAATTTCCACCTTCACCATAAAAGGATAGGGAATTGCCATTTTCCAGATTGTCAGGCCCTGTGCATGCACGCGTGTGTTTCCTAATCTGCTCCACTGCCAAAACTTGAATACTGGTTTGTCTGGCTGCAAAGCAACACTCTTTCTCTCCTGCTCAACTGTAACTGCACAGGATTTCACTTAACTCTCCTTTCTCTCCGTCTACGTTAAGCATTACATCCTGCAGTTAATCATCCTATTCTCCCAAACTACTGCTGTACTTCCCAAAATTAGGAACTGCGGTTCAGAAACCCTATCGGAGAGGCCGGGGATTTAGCTCAGCGGTTCGGTGGCCTGCCTTGCAAGCGCAAGGACCCGAGTTTGATCCCCGGTACCAAAAAAAAAAAAAAAAAAAAAAAAAAAAAAAAAAAAAA